AGTAGAGTTCACTTCAAAACCGAGCAAAAGAATAATTAATTACGTTTTCATAGCGTGCGTACTATATTCATAGAGCTGTCAGAACTAACTTCCAACCAGACGAGTTCAGTAAGGATAGCCAGACTGACTTTACAAATTATGATTGTGTATAAATAAGCCTTAAACGATTACTTGATAGAGTCCGATTGACTTTCGCGTATCTGGCTAAGGTTCACGTCTAAGTATTTCACACTTCCGCCATACAAATATTCAATATTCGAAGAATTTTTATTTTCCATATTTTTAATTAGTTTACTTGCGATTATAATTAAATTAAATTCAATTCAAAATCACACACAAACATTTTGTAGTGGGCATTAAATTGTTTCATAATCAACAACTGTTTAACCAATTAAAATATGAAAAAAAACAAACACCTTATGTAAAAGCAATTTATTAACAACACATATCAATGCATATTTGAATAATAAAATGCATCTTGCAAATTTTTTTATATGAACCATCAAACGATGCGAGCCGTATACTCGTTTTATCAAAATGTTTGTAATCTTCACGGTCCTCTTTCTGCCCGATTTTGAAGAATAAAAATATATTTTGTTACACGAATTTTTATACCCATCACCGAAGGACGAGGGGTATATTCATTTTGTCGAAACGTTTGCAACGCGCAGAAGGAAGCATCAGGAACACGACAAAGTATATATTTATTCTTAATCAGCATTCGATTCTAAATCGATTTAAGCATGTCCGCCTGTCCGTTTGTGCAATGTTTGTTGTAAACATTCGCCTGGCCGCACAAATGAAGCTGTTCGCCTCAAATTCGGGAAAAATATGGTATTGAAAATGGGCCAAATCGGTCGAAGGGCACGCCCACAGCACCACGAAAGTGAAAAAACCTCTGTTCGTCAAAGGGAATGAAAAATTGCTCTACAAATCCAATACAGTCAATCAACAGAAAATTGACCACACCTACCTAATATTGTGGTGTATCAAAATTTAAAATATTTTGTCAATACCTTTATAACGCGCAGAAATAATATTCAAAGACCCCATAAAGTATACGAATTCTGGGTCAGTTTCAAATCTTGAATGCATCTAAACAGGTCCGCCTGCCTGTTCGTTTGCCCATCTGTCTGTTTGGACAGCTTTGTAGCATTCTCCCGTTAGTGAAAATGAGGATATTGCGTACAAATTTGGAAAAGAAACTTTGCAAAGCCCACATGCCTCTGCGACAAAAGCTGTTAGTGTGAAAATAGAAGAAACCAACTGCGTCCACTGTTGCATAGATTATTATGAGAATTTCATTCTTTTACTTCTTTAGCGTTTTTCTGGGGTAAACGGTGATGGGTATAAAAGTTTCGGTTCGAGCAGAATTTAATTTTTTTACTTGCTCGTTCTAGCACGAATTCCAAAAAAAAATTTTTTTTTTTAATTTGACAGAGTGTTACACAATCTTATGTATACAGCAAGAATTATATAAGCAACTTGAGTAATTAAAAAAAGCAGATATTTATAAAAGACTTTATAGCAACAAAAAAACCGACAGAGACCGTTAATAACGAGCGCAAAAATCTTTTACTTGAATCAAATACGATAGTTGTGTTAGACATATACGACATATCTGCTGATGATAGCATTTGTGGTCCAGTCCGCAATGAACGTGCATAATTGTTATCAAGTGGCGATGAATAGTTGCGATACTGATTTGCATTCCTCATTTCAATTAAAAACTTTATATGGACTGAACTTATGGACTGAATTTTCATTATACACTAGTTTTAATGTTTTTTTTTTTTTTGCACGGTTTTTTAGGAAAGTATTTAAAGTTTTTCCAGTCTACACGTTTTTTTTTTTTTTTTTTTTGAATTGTGAAACACAATCCCAAATTTACCATTTATCGCACAAAATTCTTTTTTGCACGGTTTCCTAAAGATCGTATCGACCGTGCAAAAAAAGAGTTCAATGCATATTCTCGGTCTGCATGAAAGTCTGAATCGATTTCTGCATCTCCACCTGTCCGTCTGTCCGTTCGTGTAGTGTCTATGGGAAATAGTTTCTTAAATTTCGCAGAAAAATTGAAAGTTTTTGCATACGGATTGATACTGAAGATGGGTCAATTCATTTTAAGAACTATGCGTGTACTGTGTCACGTAAGCTGTCACTTTTGTTTCTAAAAATCCCAAAAAATATGTTATCCACTCATTGGTTACGAACTACAGCGGTTGGTAAAACTATAAAAATTTGAGCATATATCCTGTGGGCCATGCTCTAATGCTTGTGCAAAAATGGAAAAAAATGGGGATAACAGAAAGACGCGCCTAAATTGATTTCGTGATTCAAGAATTAAGGGTTTATTATATTCACAGTGAATTACACAAAAAATTAGATTTAAAAATTAACAACTAAGAGTTTTATGTAAGTTTAGTGATTTAATTTACTGCACGTTGACTTCTAAAAAAAGAGTATTCTTCTGTTTTTTTTTTTCTAAATTAGATATTTTCAAGGAAATTTTTGTAAGGGAAAAGATAAAATATAATACGCATAATTTTGAAGGAAAAGAATGAACATACATACATACATACATGACCCAGTTGGTTTAAACAAAAGTTTACTGCTTTACAAATCTTGACAAATATTGACTAAATGAAATGATTAAGCTGCTGTAAGATATGGAGCATAAATGTTGAAGCACGTGTTGCTTAATACGTAAGGAATTTCTTCCCGGCTTTTAAAAATTATATTACGAAAAAAAACAGTTATACTTGGCCAAATAAAAGTTGCTTTGCTGAACTTTTTTTTTTTTCTTTTTTCTTTTTGTTTTCTTTGTTTAACTACTCTCTCTCTCTCTCTCTTCTCTTCTCTCTCTTTTAATTGTAAAAAGTTTTCAAGCTCGAATACTTATACAATCTTAATTTAAGTTCATTTTTTCTTAGAGTGATATGAAAAAAAAAGAAAAAAGCTTTTTACGAATACATTTCCGTGAACATGTCGTCCCCTTTTTATTGCACAATAAACCAGTTTGTTTTGATTGTGTATCGCTTTTGAAATCAGCTGTGCCTTTTTTTTTTTTCATTGTTTATTAGTGCGCAAAATCTCTATTATTGTGCTTCGCAAAATATTCGTCAAGCGTGTGCTTTCCGATGATAAACAAATAAACAGTAAATGTAAACTTAAAAGAAAATTCGCTAAAGGGAAACAAACTAAATTTGTTGTTAGAGAAGAGAGTCAAGTGTGAAACAAAAGAGGAAATTGCATATCTTTTTCGGACGTTTCATGCGTAACTAACGGTAACAGAGAAAAAGAGGGAATATGTGAGTAGCGTAGCGACCAAAGAGCATAATATAACCGAATGATTATTTACATGTTAGTAATCAAGTAGATACATAAGACAAGTATCTCTCTCTGTTTGGCCTTCTTCTGTGTCAATGGGTTTTGCGTGCCATTCTTCTTTTATTTATTTTCTATTATTTTCTTTACGGCCCTATATAACATAAAAATTAGGGTAAGATTTTCAATTTTCGTAAATTTTGCGTAATTAAAAGAATGAAGAAGAGTTTAAATTATTTTCTGAATAATAAAATATTTTGTAGAATATTGTAAAATTAATTGAAAATGATGATTCATTCGATTTCTTAATAAAAAAAAAAAAAAAAAAAAAAAAAAAAAAACAATACTTAATTGATATAGGAAAAAATGTAGCTGACCTAATTTAATTTAATTTAAACGCTTCGCTCATAGATGAATGAGGTATAAACTTTTGATTTCCCCTTTTGTTCTATGCTTCCTTGTCACCATTGTATTCTCTTATAGTTTAAAAGAAAAGGAAAAGTTTCCTGATGATTTGTTTTACTTTTTGTTTTCGCCGTAACATATATTTTACATAAACACACTCATGCGCTGAATATGCAATCTCCCAATTTCTCTCGCATTGGCTCTCTTTTTCGCTCCTCGTACAATAGTAGAAAAGAGAAATCTGAACAAATGATAATCTTGTCTATAGTCGAATAGTGTAACACTCGTTTTTCTCGAAAATATCTAAGCACTTGAGAAAATCTTATCAGATTAGCTTCCTAAGCACATTTACATAGATAAATTAATTAATACGTTCTCAAAAAAAAAAAAAAAAAAAAAAAATTTGTGTAAAAATCAAAAAATAGCAGATAAGTTCCAGATTGAAACAAAAAAAAAAGAATTGATAAGTACAATAAACAATATTAAAAAATTCGCATTAGAATATGGCTTAAGAATTCATTTCACGCATACTTTATTATATCATTTATTACATATATATTATAAAAAAAGAGATTAATTATACTTTGAAAGATCAAACTGAATTATGTAAAAAATACATTACGTATGTACTCTATGCCTAATTCGGGGAATCCCACCCATATAAGCACATAATCTAACGGAAATCTAATTGAATTGCGAAAAATATATATTTGTGAAGAGTGAGAATGAAAAAATTCGTACAAACACAAAAGGAAAAAAAAATTCATATAATATTGAAAATCGTTTTAAAGCAAAACAATTCGCTTAAAAAGAGAATATATATATTTTTTATTAATTCGTGTTCGTAAATCAAATTTCGCGTAAAAAGAAACTTAGACGCACATTATTGAGTTTTTATATTTCTTCGACTATATTCATTCGACAATTTTGCGTATCGCGTTTAATTCTATTCTGTTATTCGTTTTTTCGCCATTAGAGAGATTGGTTGCCCACCACAGATAAAAATAAAAATATACTTAAACTTAACTTATTAATTAACTGAATCATTGATTAATCTTCCGGGAAACATTCACGTGTCCTTATCAACGATCGGTCAGCTTTATGGGCAGGAAACGTCGAGTCTATGGAATGGCGTGGATGATATTTTCAGTTCAAAGCTAAAATTCATTTGTCCGTAAATTAGTTGACAAAATCTAGAACAGCTTTCCGAATGTTAAGAACCAGCCATCGTTTATGCACCTTTAATAATATCGCTGTCAGGAATTTGTAGCTTCGAAGATCAATTTCATTGCATAAATAAACTTATAAGCGGAAAATTTTGACTACGAGTTAACGTAGTACGAACAGTGATATGATTTTAGTTTAGACTAAATTCTATTTATTGCATATGGAACAGTTCTTAAAAGAGCCAACCACTAAACTCCGTTTCTAAGATAAGAAAAGAGTACTTTTCGGTCGGCCATTCCTGATCCATTTCAGTTTTGTTTTTACAAGCGGCTATTGTTTTGTTATTGTTTTCTTTTTTTTTTTTATGTTCTTTTTTTCCACTGTTACCGTTGCCATTAGCATTAGCCAACAACGGGCGAGTTGTATAAATTTTCTAATTTTTTATTTCAGTTTCGTTCGTTAGTGACTAAAAACGGTTCTTTGTGTATCGAAGCTCGTATCCTAAGAGTGCGAATAAACAGTACATATTATATGCAAAACGTTTAAAGTTGGAAAGAATAAAAAAAAATTTTGTAAAAATTTTACGAATTGAAAAATAAATTGACCAAAAAAAATAAAATAAAATATATATATATATATATATATATATATATATATAAATTTTAAAAAAAAAAAAACATTTCATTATAAGTCAGTGTTGAATAAAAGAAAATAAATATTATAATAAGATAATGTCGTCATCATCACCTCCTCTAACAATTCTTTTGAGATTTTCTATTCAAGGGTTTTCTCTTTTTTTTTTTTTTTTTTTTTTTCTTGTGCAACACAAGAAAGCGCTAAAAATATAACAAGCCAACAGTGTTTTGGACATGTGTTCTCGTGCATGATCCATCACAGAAATAATCATTATTTGCTGACAAAAAATGTGTTAAACAAGTATTGACTGATTCGAGCGTTTAATAGAAATCTTACAAGAAATTCCAATTCCTTATAAACAAACTAATATAATATTCATCGATTTTTTTTTGTTTTTTTTCTTATTTTCTAGAATTAAACAAGTTTACCCATATACGTATATATGTATGCGTGCAGTCTATGCGTGTATTAGATGTGTAATTCAGCTTAGGCTTAGGCTGTTACGTATGCTCATCATATAGTAATTTGTTCCCCTTCAATGGCTGCGACTTTTTATACTAAAAATTTTCAAACTCGAAATAGATTAACTATGTTATTGATTTTGCAACAGTTCTCATACATATATATATATATGTGTGCATCTCTGCAGGGAAATGATCTATGAAGAATGAATTAATTAACAAAAATTTTAAATTAAATATAAAAAACTAAACGATTCATGTCTCCCTAATCGGTAGTAATCAGGGAAAACTAAGAGCTTTTAAATTTTTTTTTTTTTTTTTTTTTTTTTTTTTTTTTTTTAAAAA